ATATATATATAAAGAAAAACCTGTCCTGATGACAAAATTAGTGCTACCAGACTACAGTTATGCAAAATTGTGCAACAGATAAAGTCAGCTTTGCATAACATAACTAAGTTTGTTATGTGTATTGACTCTATGTGCTTCCCTCAGGCACCTGATTATCATTTTTTTTACATATAGATAAAAACTCTTAAGTAAATGTTTGTCTACAAGATTTCAGCTATGATTTACGTTTTGTAACTGCAACATTTTTTTTGCAACGTGATCAAACTTAGACAATAATGACCACATAATGTATTACAAAAGGTTTTTGGTAAGGGGGTAAAAATACATCAATCCACATCAATATGTTGATTTAATGATTCATTTAAGGCCAATGGAAACGTCAATTCATATTGTCATCACATGCYCGATGTGGATTGATATCATATTTCAGTCTAACACAATGATTTACTACATGATTGTGTTAGATGGGCATGTGATATTGSGTCATATTGATCAGAGATTCATGAACTGAATATCATGTCAGACTATGTGATTTCGAGAAACATCGTGTTGTCATCCATACAAATTGATATAGTATTGTGTCRTGAAAAAGCTGCTGATTTTACATGTTCTCCCTGTGCACGYWTGAGTTTTYTCCAGGTTCTCCAMATAATCGGCAGCAGAACTATTAAATCCTCCGAATTAAAAATGTGATTCTTGGCAGATCTTGTGGATCTGTTCCTTATGAGGAGCCATTCGGTTTCCAAATGTTAGTCACGTGGTACAATGACATATCACAAGCACTATGTACGGCATTTGTAGTGATGTTAGGCCGTACATAGTGACCYACATGTACCAAACGACTCGTCGTTTGTTTTAAAGAGTTCAAAAGATTCAGATCATTTGTGAAAGATGATCTCTTCTCAGAATTTTTTCAGGAGAGCACGTTTGAATGCTTACTTATCCTGTCCCTGTCCCCTCCTTTGCAGGTGGAGGACTGGTTCTTGTGTTTCCAGTCTCCAGATGACCAGCTCGCCATCATAGCTCGCTGTGGCAACAACTCCCAGAGAGGAGCACGTACATATAGCTACGATGTCCAACTCATGAACGCCTCTGGACCTCCAGGAYAAGTCTGCTTTCACCTTCAGCTCCTTTGGGGAACAGTTCGTGCAAAACTATAAACATTAGAGTTTTTTTTATGGCATTGATTATACAAGCTAAAGAAACATTTGCAAAACCTAATAAGAGACATCACTTGTAAAACATCTGAGAGAAGTCGAGTGTTGTTAAAAAAATTCCAATGTTCTTTAAAGCATTCTAAACCACCAGAACAGATCTATAACTGTAAAATGTCTAAAATGAACATACCTTTGTGTCACATACAATTGTAATTGCTACAGAGAGATATAAGCTGTGGCTGCAGCCTTCTGAGTTTGATTTAAAGTCATAAACTTAGTGAAAGTAACAGCAGGAGTTTGGTGTTCCAGTTTTCTTTTTAGGTCCAAATTGTTTTTTGCATTCCGGAGAAAAAGAGTTTTAAATTTAGACTAGATGAGTCACAACKGTGGCAGTTGTTTATGTTTGAGTCATCATCTCGACATTCAGATATGTCATTATTTTTACACGTTGAATTGAGATAATGTTTCTCTGCTCCACACTTCAGAGCGCTACTGGAGCCTCACCAGCTTCTTATTTGAAGAACAACCCTGCTGCACGTTTCTAACYGTTGATATAATGGAAAGTTATTATCTTCTTGGCAGGAGGTTAAACAGCAGACAGGGTGAGGTGAGGAAGATCTTTTCATCTTTCCATATAAAAAAAATTCCACCCTGCATAAACACTGGTTAAACCACATGTGTCAAACTAAAAGTCCGCGGGCCAAATGTGGCCTGCCACAGCATTTTATGTGGCCCACAAGAGCTTCAAAGATGAATTGTCTTAACAGATGATGCTTTAAAGCCAGCACTGACCATATACTGCATCTCCCATAATGCATGTTGGTTATTTTACCCACGAAATGACAGCTGGTGCACAAGGTTCACAAGTAGCCAGCAGCTGGCAAAATTCAGGTTCAGGTTCAGTTTCAGGTTTATTCGAGTCCCAAGTGGGTAATTAATGTTAGAGCAAATACATGCTACATAGAAAAACTGAGACATAAAACTAAGACAAACGATCAAAGTTAAAAAAGTTTTCAAAAGTTTTAACGTGTGGTACAACACAGTGCACCAAAATAACATCAAATATAAATTCTTACATAATAAGAAGAGTATCAGCAGGGTTCAACTAACAATTGCTACTAATGTCGGTAACAAAAATTCACCATGCAAAATCGCCATTTCGCTTAATGTTTGCTGGCTACTTTTGCTGCAGCCAGGTGTACTGGGAAGTGGGAATTTCTCACTTMCAAGTCATAAATTTAAACTGGAACACCCCTCCAGTGGGAATTTCCTGTCAGATAGTTGGAGAGCTTTGAATTTAAGATGACATCAAYTCACCACAACTCAACTGAGTAAAGCTCTTTCTTTTATTTTCAGTCAGGGCTGGGGATGTAACATCTTGTGACAGACACGTGATCAAAATCAGTAGAAAATATTTTCAATAGAATGTTGATAATTTWACTTATGGAAGYTTACRAAATGTACRCAGGGTAATAAAAATGACAGGCAGACCTGAGATTGTGACAATATACAATAACAGCTACTGAAGCTGTAAAATCACTTTTCATGCCGACGCAATTTATTCTTTATGTCTTCTTCTGGCTTCATAAAATAATTGCGGTCAGCTCCAGTCTGCTTATGAAGTTCACAGAAATTTACAAAGTAAGTTACGGACTGGGACTGAAGATTGTGACAACAACGGCACTGAAGCTACCCAGGAGCTAAATCCCAGTTAAGCAAGGTTGGTGGCATCAACTAACTTTGGAAAGGTAGCAACAACATGTAGAGTAACATGTAGCAGTTTCATTTCACCACAGTGTCTTATAACTGCTTTACAATAATAAAGAGGTGGAGTGAAAATGATTTCAACAACTCAAGAGGAAATTGTGGATAAAGAATAAAAGGTCATCACCAGTTTGTCAGTATTAATCAGTCTTTTGTCTTCTAAAAACTACAACTGTTAGGATCTGTGTCTTGTGTTCTGTCTCGCTCTTGTGCTTGCTTTCTGTGTTCTYACCTTCATTCATCCTCAGCTGTTGCCACTCTTTAATCACCCAAGTACTCTCCATTTTCCACTCAAGCCTTGCCTTATTTAACCGGTCTCTTTTCACAACTTACTCGCTGGATCTTTGTTCTTCACTTGACTTTGTGTCCTCCATTTTGTTTTTGCTGCCTTGCCAGCCTTTATTTTACATTGAATAAATTCTTTAGTCTTTCTTGAGTCCTAGTGATGTCTGCCTTCTGGGTCCAAAACCCCTACGCTTGTTACAACAAGATAATCAATAATTGATATAGACTTTTCAGCCATGTATCCAAACCCTACTTTAAATAGTATTTCTGTGTTATTTATTTCACATTTAGTCAGTTGTACATGTAGTASTTTTCAGTGTTTATAAGAGAACATGCTAAAATRCTGTTTTTATACACAAAATACAACGTAGAGCTAAGATAACCAACAGTGCACAAGGAACGTGATGTTTTGTGTTTTGATGGTTAACAGGCCCCTTGAGGACAACCATAATGCCAATGAAGCTGTATATTTTTGATTTTACCTTGGTTTTGGCAATGTTATACTGAGCGATGCACTGGCTCCACCCCACAGCAAGCAGCAGGTTGTCATGAAGACAAGTCAGACCAGTGACCTCCGAGTTAGAGATGGGCTCCAATTTGTGCAAATTAAGGCCATTTAGAAAATTCCAGACCTGTGAGGTTTGTGAAAAGAGTTATCTTATTTCCACTTTGTCATGCATTAAAACAGAGGAACTGTGTGTGAGAGGAGGTATGAAACCTTTATGGTGCCATTCTGAGCCCCAGTGATCAGTCTCCTGTGAGATGAGTCCAGTTCCATGCAGGTGAGTCCCTCCCCTCCGTGTGCATTTGAAATGCGAAGCCTCTTCTGACCTGTTTCAACATCCCACAGTAAAATGGACGAGTCCACGTGTCCGGTCACCACCTGCCGCAGGGAGGGGTTGTACAGAGCGCAAGAGAGGGATGGGCTGCTTCTTTCATCTGTCAACCAACCACCATAACCTTGTTGTGCTTCAGCCAATGTCAGGTTCGCCAGGTAGTCCTTGCAGCCCACCACTAAGTTAGGCAGTATTTCYTCAGGAAGAGGGGGGCTCAGCAGCAGGAATGGGAAGTTGCCATGTTCTGGGAGACGACCTGTTTGCAAGCAGGGAAACTGCAGGAGGATGGTTTTCAGACAGTGATGGCTGGAAATGTCCCATACCCTCAATTCCTGGCAAGAGAACACACAAATTACCCATCTTCTCTCCGACAAACTCATATGGTTCAGCCTCATTCAGTTTTCTAAGCTCCACAGAAAACAACTCACAGAGTCTCTGGAATAGCTGAAGATCTGGCGGACAGGGTGGTAGATTGCGACGTCCAACACACCGGCACAATGACCCGACAGAGTAGCTGCAGGACTCGAGGTCACATATCGAGTCCAGAGTCTTACTTTTCGGTCACAGCCTCCTGTGACCAGAAGCTCCAGGGAGGAATCATAGTCGAAGCATTTAGCTCCCTGAAATCAGACAGAAAAAATACATCTGTATATAACAACAAAAACATGGAACTATATTTAAAAAAAACATCAGTTAKGTCAACATTTAAATGTTGGCAACAAAGTCCAGACAGTTAAGTAAATTCTAAATATAAAAAACTAAACATTGTGAGTAACAGGAAACATTACCACCCAGTTTAATAGTGTTTTCTAATTTTCTCACTGTTTCCTGCAGTGACATCATCTGCACTGCATGCCCAAGCTTTATAAATGTATAACATGATTCACATTTGCTCTCAAAACTTAAAACTCACCAGTTATGYAATACAGCCTGAAAGACATAAAAACAAATAAGTTTCCTGCAACTGGTTTGAAAGACTTATGTTCAAACTTGAGCACAGTGTTTCAAGTCAGGGTCACCCAAACCACATTGACCTATATGCGCAACAAATATCAGTCCAGTTTGGTGCCATTTAATGTTTTAGACAGATGTCTGGATTTACTGAAGCAGAGTTTGTTGAATATCAGCCGCAACACATGGAAGGTGTTTTTGAAACCATTTTTTACCAGGACTTCTTGCCCATGGTTTCTCTTTGAAAAGTCCATGTTTGAAGGCACAGTGTATAGGATTTGTTGTTTTCAGCAACATCTAGTGGTTGAGTGATTGAATCATCCAACCTGGTCCTCCCCCCACCCCCMCCCCCCCCGCTTCCAAACGCAAAGGAGTTGCTACGGTGTCTCTYAGGKGTCAAAAACCTTTGATAATTCCAACCGCGATGTCTACCAGCAGCTTCAGGGCTAGTGATGTTTCAAGTGGTAAGATTATGAGCTTTAATAAGTAAAATTATCCCAGCTACAATGACAGACAACAAATATTACATTTGTAGTATTACAACTAAAACCGTTTTTGACGCCGCCACCGCAGTTTGTCCTTCATGAGCCTTTGCAGACAAGATGGCAGTGCAAGATGGCGGCTGCCTGTAGTGGCGACCCGCGACCCTGGAGATATAAACAGCTTTTTATAAGGTAAAAATAATAAAACAAGGTCTTTGTCTGCAATGATTAGACATGTTTTTTTATTATTGTCATTAGTGATTATCTCAATTTCGGCTAAAAGACTTGACAAAATCCTACACACTGTKCCTTTAAAAAAAACATGTCAGCGAGATGTGAAGTCTTACATCTTGTTAAAAATATACATAAACTTTAAATGTAATTCAGTCAGATCTCTCTCTCCATGTGTCCAGTCAATGACTTCCTACCTTCCCTTCTCTACCAACCTTCATCCCTACTGCATCTCTAATAACATCCACTTATTCATTGGAGGTGAAGGTGTCCATAGCTGAGTAATGACGGTACCCACGCTGAGTCTGTTCYAGTCACAATGAGAAGACTCAGATGAAGCTCAACCCTTAGCTTTTAACCTCTCTTCYTTGACTTCAGGTAAACCTGTAAAGTTATTTTATGGTGTTGTGGTCCCTCCTAGCTTGGTAAAAAACAGCCATTTGTTCTACACTTTACTTTCATACAGAGGAGGAGCAGTGAAGGGAGATTCGAATCAAGCGGAATCACATAGGAAGGCAAATGGCCAGGTTAGGTCCCTCCTAGTGGAAAGTAAATGTGTTTTAACAGTCCAAACCTGTACCCAAAACTATAAAAGTAAATAATCTCAAACAGCACACTGTGTATTGAATCATTATTTACTATGGGACCTGCACAATCCTCCAAATCTGAGGCTTCTTCCTCAGTGAGACGTCGGTGAAGACCACAGATGTGGCGTCACTTTCTGATGAAGTCATGACGATGTTAGAACCAGCCTCAAAAATCACTCTGTTGATTGGYTCCTTGTGGATGTTGGGAATGTGGCGATATGAGACCATGCTGCTGTGTTCACTGAGTTCCTTTAGAGGGGGAAAAAACCATCATGTCAAACTTATTCCCAACAACCTGTCATGGTGCTAAAGAGGACGTAACCTACTGGAAAGAAGATCCGTTGAGGGCCTTTTTCTTTCTTGGATGGATTCTTGAACAGACCTTTAGATGGCTTCAGAAACCACATCAGGTGGACTTCTCCATTTTCATCTCCCAGGATCATAAGTGGAGGTTTATCCGGACACTTGAACGGAAAAACTACTTTGATTAAAATGACAAAATGCCTTGTTGTTTGAGCAAAATCCTCCAGCTGGAACATTTTAAGTGTATATTGGTCTCACCTGTGCATCATGTGAGTAACAAAGAGCAGTCAGGACACTGCGAAACCCTAAAAAGTGAACAATTTTCTGTAATCTTCATCTATTTTATTTGGAAAACGTGTTGCATTGTTTGCAAACTACCAAACAGATGCACATCCTCATATGCAGAGGTYGCAGAGATGTGGACAAAGTGCAAATCTCTGCAGCTGGTTGCGATGGCAACCKTCTGGCAGCTGCCCATGGACACAGCATCAGTTGCCCAGCCTCTGAACCGTTTTGTGTTGGCAACTTCCTCTGTCGGGTCTCCAGCAAGCTGGTTCAGACAGAAAGATGTGAGTGTCTTTCTGGATACTTATGGTGGATTTTACCTATGACGTCACTGACCATTACAGATCTGAGAACGTGTAGGCAGCTGTTCCAGATGGTGACCTGACCCCCTTTACTGACACTAACGTAGAGGAGCAACGAGGGCGGGTGGAAAACCGCAACCACACGAACTGTCGGCTCCCGCTGCAGAACAAAAAACACCACAAGAAGAATAATRTTTAACCAGCATTAGCTGTGGAAARTGTGTCAGAAACCCATTACTGAATATAAAAAGAAATAATAATAAAAGGATGTGTCAACTCAACTCCTACAAGACATGATGAATGTAAGAAAGTTTTTCATGGTTTAYATMTCTGAAAGTGGTAAATARWTAAATTCTGCTGTTGTACTTTTACACTTATGTCAGACAAACACCTCAAACCTGACTGTTTGCTACATTCAAATGCCTAAAAGCATGATCATRATTTAAGAATATCACAGATTACAAGCAAAAATATTCTAAAATACTTTATTTAGGTTTATGAAAGTAACCTGTTATTGTGTAGGAAGTCTCAACTAAAAAGCTAACAGAAGATAAAATAGATTAAAAAATTTAATACTGGAAAAATTAAATAAAATCTCTGCACAACTGGATTGTTGTGTTCTCTGTCTGTGTGTGGTGGTCTTGTGTGCATGATATCCCCTGAATGAAATTACATATTTACTTATAAATAGGTTTAGCAACTTCATTAGTACTCGGTCAGATTAGATTTGGGCATCAAAGGGTCAAACATCAAGGTCATTTACGATGACTGGTAATATAAAACTGACTTTTTTTTTCTAATTCCTCAACAGTACAAATAAAATACCTGGTTAAATGATATGGTAAAAATCAAAGAGCAAGTTATGTTTAGACTTTGTTGACATATTTCTTAGAATATTTAAGTCCAAAAACAGAGGTTAAAAAGTTACCTGCACGCCCAGTGCTTTCAATGCAGATGTCTCTGCACAGGCGGAGACATACCAGAYGATCAAGTTCTACCTTGTTTTTCATTGAAAATTAACATCACATTCATGGCTTGACAAAAATTCAAAGGATTTTGTAGAAGTGAGGTTTGCCTTTTAAAAAAACGTGCAGATATATTTAATGTGACATTACTGTGGCGTCATTTGCTTAGATGCACTAAATCCACTTAACTAATATCCACTATATTCCACTAAATAATCCATAATCCGCTAAATAATTAGACAAGAGTGGGTGCCATCTTGTGTCTTTTCAATGAACTGCACCTGTTTTGAGGATTGATCGATGTCAGCATCCTCAGAGTTAGCTGCATGTTTCTGACTTCAACTCTTGGTTGGTAATCCCCAGACTTTAAACCAAAACTAACTTTCTCCAGCTGGTCCATTTATTTGTTCAATTTGTTGAATTTTGTTGCATAAAACTTTGTTAAATTKGGCTACTCCACCCTGGATGGATGCATTTGCTTTTTTCTGTGGTTTTGCTCTTCCGTAGTGGTCATTTGTTGCTATTTTTCTTCTGAAAACAGCAACTGTTTTTATTTTCATCACATTTACCTTATTGTGAGCGCAGTGCCTGAAGTCAGGCTGGACGTCCATCAGAGCTGCTGTGGGAGCAGAGGCCCGCTGCCTCTCAGTGCACTCCAGAAACAAGTAAGAACACAGCTGCTGCCACTTTATCTGCCCAGTGCAGCAGACATCAACCTGGTAAACATCAACAACTCAACTTCAGCTGATTTAAACTAATGTAACTGGGAATGTTTTCATGCAGCTTCCAGTGCCAGCTTTCTTYACCTCATTATAGAATCTCTCAGCCCACGAGTCATCAATACTTGGTCCGATCACAGATCTCAACAGCTCCTTGAATTGTTTCAACTCAATTCCAGATTCCTCAGCTTCATCTCTACGTGTTTCGTCTGACCTGCATGCCTGTGGTTTTGGACAGGTGAATGCATTTCTCAGGAGCTGCAGATGCTCTGGTCTCAGCTTCTCTGCAGGACTGGAACCAGAAGCTGGAKCGCTGCAGAGAAAGCAGCCAGGCAGGAAAATGCAACTCTCATCATAAAACTGAGCAGACCGTCAAGTAAAAATATGGATTTGGAAGCATTCACATTTATGTCGCCTTTTCGTTTCTGGCTCAGCAAAACGGTGAGCTTCACGAAATCTGAACGGATCAAAACTAAGAGTTTAACAGCTGGAAATGAAAACGATTTAAGAAGGACGTTTTATGARTATCATTTAATGTAACTTTGGTCGCTTGTTTTGCGTTGACTATAGTTTTTGTCATTTTTATACTTTCTATTTACTTTTACGTCGTCACTGAAATACACCGAGTTCTCTAATTTTTTTCAACATTGTTGTTTTTTTTAGTTTGCTTCAGCAAATTTGCTCTGTTATTGGTAGTAGAATTCTAAACAGTACATTGCTTTTTTTAATCCAACTGAGACGTCTGTTCTCTTCGGCCTTTAAGAAATGTTATTACTCTTTACAGACACTAGGTGAAGGCATTTCACCACTGCTTTTGCCTCATTGATGGCAGCTGCAGATTACAAGTGTGCACAATCAGGATAATTACATCCCCGTGATTCAAGCCCAGCACTCCCCTCCCAGTGGGTCTTTCCTCAGTCCTGCCCTGTTGGTCTCAGTGATGGGGCAGTGAGAAAGTCAAAACTCCTCTATTCTGTGTAAGTCTCTCAGTTTTCTCATCTTCTGTGGTTTAAATTAGCTCCTGCTTGTTTTCTTATCATGCTGCGGATTATAATAGTGTCGGCAGAGAATCTACCTGGAAGGAAGTTTGGGAATTCTGATCCATTTGCAATTATAACTTTTAAAGGTAGGTTTCTTCGTAAAGGGCAGTGTTTTAGTGTTTTTTTTTTTGCGTACTTTGCTTTCCTTTCACATACCAAAAACATGCAAATTGGGCTAGTTGGTAGCTCACCTGTCTCTAGGTGTGAATTGTTGTTGGTCTCATCTKTTGCATCATGTCAGCAGCTGTTAGAGCTGTGACAAACAGTGTAGCMTATAATTATACATGCAGATTCTACTTTTGTAACTGTATGATTGTGTTTAATAAATTTCGAGTATAATTTATATATTTAAGGATTATGTTGAAAGTTTGACAATAGAAATCTGGAGGAGAGACAAAATATTTCATTAAAGGGGAACTCGTCCAGAGAACCTACTTAATTTTTTTCTACCTGTATTACTAAGATGCATGAGGACATTTTAAGTTGCTACATATATTTTTGTGGTTGGAAATTTTGAACCCACAAACAGGAAAAAAAAGATGCACCTCAGTTATATAATTCATTTTGTAGTACTGCTTTTATGCTAATTAAAGAAATGTACTTTTAAAACTCTGTAATCAAACTCACCAAAACCTGGTGTGTGGTACCTCGGTCTCATAAAGCATCCACAGATTCTTCTTGCTTCTTGACGTACCCATACTGATTCAGATGCCCCTTTTTCAGATTAATCCAGAAACAGCAGCAGAGTCTGAGTCAGTTTGAGCTCTTTTCTATGCTTTAAATCTAAATCCTTTTTGTCTGCTTGTCCTCTTACTTCCCCCACAAGCCTCAGGCAAGGCCTCTCGTCTTCAGATAGGAATGTCCACATTGAGAAATAATAAAAAGCAAAAATCCATCACAAACATTTAGACTGAACAAAGAAAATAAAGTCAGCACAAGGAGCCGAGGAGGAAACCATGGAGAGCCAAAGCTTTCAGACTGAAACTTGGCTGGGGGGGGCTAACAGAGGAGCAGACCAACCTTCAGTGGGTTAATGATTTAAAGAGGCAAAGTTGTGCAG